CTCTGAGGAGCATGCATTCCTCCTCTCTGATTCCACCCCTGCAAACCTTCTGGGACGGGACTTGCTATGCAAACGTGGCTGTTCTATTTACTGCTCCCCAGATGGTGTCTATCTGCAAATCCCTCAGTCTTCCTTATGTGATTCTGTAGCCTCCCTGCTGTCTGAAACTTCCCTCTCCACTCCGGTCCCTTGCTGTCCCTTAACTCCGTCCCTAGAGCACCTAATCTCTCAGGTTCCTTCCTCCCTATGGCCATCTCACCCATCTGAAGTGGGCCGATTAAATACTGACCCAGTTCGGATTACTGTAGACAATTTCAAACCTCTGCCTCGCCTGTCTCAGTATCCTTTGAATCCTGAGGCAGAGGCTGGGATTGCTCCAGTTATATCTGCATTAAAAGAACAAGGAATTATTGTCCCTTGTTCCAGCCCCTGTAACACCCCTATCCTCCCAGTTCAAAAGGTTAATGGCAAATCGTGGCGATTTGTTTAAGACCTTTGAGCTATTAACTGTATTGTCATACCTTCTTTTCCAGTGGTTCCTAACCCTGCTACAATACTAGCGTCTATTCCTCCAAATGCAACCCACTTTACTGTTGTAGATTTGTGCTCCGCTTTCTTCTCTGTCCCAGTTCACTCTGAATCCCAGTATCTCTTTGCCTTCTCCTACAAGGGTCAGCAATATACATGGACGACCCTTCCCCAGGGGTATACAGAGAGTCCATCCTATTTTTCTCAAGCCCTAGCCAGGGATCTCGCTGATCTGGTTTTCCCATCAGGATCCACACCGATCCAATATGTGGACGACTTACTCCTGTGCTCCCCCTCTCTGTCTGCCTCAGAAACTGATTCACTAACACTTCTCACAGCTTTAGCAAACAAGGGTCATAAGGCTTCTCGCACAAAATTGCAGTTCTGCCAAACCTCTGTCACATACCTAGGCTTCCTTCTCTCCCAGGGCTCCCGTACACTCTATCCAGCCCGGGTACAAGCCATCCTTAGCTTTCCCCAGCCTTGCTCTCCACGTCAGAAAATTCTTAGGCATGACAGGGTTCTGTAGGCAATGGATTCCCCAATATGCTTCTCTGGCTAAACCACTCCAAGAACTCACTCGATCCTCTTTACCTAACCCCATGCCATGGCCACTTGAAGCAAATGCTGCTTTCATCTCCCTTAAGCAGAATTTAGCCTCTGCCCCTGCCTTAGGGTTACCTAACTATGACAAGCCTTTTACCCTTTTCTGTCACGAACAATCTGCTTGTGCCCTCGGGGTTCTTACTCAGGAGCACGGTGACAGAAATCGCCCGGTGGCTTATTTTTCTGCAACCTTGGACCCTGTAGCCCAGGGTTTACCCCCTTGCCTACACGCTGTACCTGCTGCAGCGCGCCTGGTCGAGATGTCTGAGTCCCTTGTCCTCCGCTCTCCTCTCACTCTCATGGTTCCCCATTCTGTGGAAACTCTCCTTCTGCAATGCAACACTGCTCACCTCTCCTCTGCTCGCCTCACTAGGTATGAACTTTTGCTGCTTTCAGCCTCACATATCACTATTAAGCGCTGCTCCCGGTTAAACCCTGCTACCCTCCTTCCTTTACCTAGTGATGGTGAATCCCATGACTGCCTTGCAACTGTCTCCACTATCACTATCCCGGGCCCCGACCTTTCAGATGTACCTCTCCCTAACTCTGACCTGGTATTATTCACTGATGGGTCCTGTTATAGAAATGACCAAGGCCACCTTCTTGCAGGGTACGCTGTGGTCTCTCTCTCTGAGACCATAGAAGCTGCGCCCTTACCCTCTGTGACCTCTGCCCAGGTGGCTGAACTGATTGCTCTAACCCGTGCCTGCTTTCTAGCCGAGGGGCTCTCTGCCACTATTTTTACTGATTCTCAGTATGCCTTTGGGGTTGTGCATGACTTTGGCACCCTCTGGCAGGCTCGAGGTTTTCTTACCTCTACTGGTACCCCTATCAAGAATGGCCCCTACATTGCCGCCCTCCTGTATGCAGTTTTACTACCGTCTGCCTTGGCAATTGTTAAGTGTACTGGCCACTCAGCGGCAGACACCGAGGTGGCAAAAGGTAATGCACTTGCTGATGCTGCTGCAAAACATGCCGCCACTATAAAACCTTCACCAGAAGCATTTCTTGGTCCCCTCTCTATCTCTGTAATGCCACCATCCCTGTCTCATCTCGCTCAGCTCCAGGATTCTGCCCCAGAAACAGAGAGAGACTCCTGGAGTGCTTTGGGTTGCTCTTTGCATTCTGATTCCCTTTGGCGATTGCCCACCGGTACCTTTGTAGCCCCCCTCTCACTCTACCCATCTCTAGCAGCCCTGCTACATGGTGTTTCGCATGTCAGCAAGGAGGGGATGGTCTCTGCTATGAGTAAGGCAGGGTGGTGGGCTCCCCATTTTAGCTCCTTTGCAACCCGCCACTGTGCCGCTTGTGTTACTTGTCAAAGCCACAATGTAGGCAAATCTGTAAAAGTAACACAAGGGTTCCGGGGTTTGCCTCAAGCACCTTTCCTACACTGGCAACTTGATTTTGTACAAATGCCAAAGTGTCAGAAATATGAATTCATTTTAGTTATAATATGTCTGTTTTCAGGTTGGATTGAAGCCTTTCCCTGTCGCAAAGCTGATTCATTGTCCGTTGCAAAATGTCTGTTAAACCACATTATCCCTACCAAGGGAATTCCTGCCACTTTGTCTAGTGACCGGGGAACACATTTTACTGGAAAAATTGTTCAACATCTAAACCAGGTATTATATGTCACCCACCTGTTGCACTGCCCTTACCATCCACAGAGTGCAGGGGCAGTTGAAAGGCGAAATGGTGTGCTTAAAAATAAGATGGCAAAAATCTGTAGTTCCACAGGGTTAAACTGGCCAGCTGCTTTACCACTGGCCCTTATGGAAATTCAGTCATCCCCATCCCAGAGACACAAATTGAGTCCATTTGAAATCATCATGGGACGCCCTATGCGAACAATGGCTACTATTACCCCAGCCCCAGACCTAAACCTAACTCACAGCAAGCTCCTCCAGTACGGCAAAGGGTTAATGCAAGCTGTGAGCTCCTTCCATTCGCAGGTGTGAGCAGCTTGGCCGACGGAACCCACCTCTGCTGCCTGTCACACTCTTGAGCCTGGTGATTGGGTCTACCTGCGGCACCACCTTCGGAAGCACGCCTTGGAACCCCGGTGGAAGGGTCCATACCAGGTACTGCTCACCACCCAGACAGCAGTGAAATTATCCGGCATCGCTGCATGGATCCACGCCTCACAGTGTAAGCCAGCGCCACCTCAAGGGGACCAAGCACCTCTGCAAGACCACGCAGAACCAGCTTCAACCACAGAAGACAAAGAGGAACAGCCTGCAATACCTTACAATCTGCGCTCTCATAAGGGTTGCCAGAAGCAGAGGGTAAGCAGACAGCAGGACCCAACAAACAAGAAGCAGTAGTGAGCCTAGCGCCTGCTGCATGGCGGACGTAAAACCGTGACTGCGGTCCCCTCGAAAGGGGTTGTCGGAACCAGAAAGGGTCCTGCTTCCAACATGTGTCCTTTGAGAAGCTTAATCCTTAGCTACTGTGTCCTGAGGGTCTGGGGAATCCAGAGTGACAGTGACAATTCTTTCATCCAACAACAGGTGCAGATAGCCCAGATTCTGAATATTTCTAATTGCTGGGTCTGCAGCCACATCCCAGCTCACTCACAAGCTAGTATCCCCACCATGGCAATCCCTTTGAATTCCTCAGAGCTTGCTGGAGAACCCTATCCACTTAAAAGGACATGGAAGGAAAATGACATTTGGGGGCTGGGAAAAACATATGTTCCTAAACTTATAAGTGTGGTGAAAGGAAAGCGCCACTGGTGCTGGGTGTGTAATGGGACAGGGCTGAATCTAGGGAGGAGCAGCTGTCTCCAATACATCGTGTCCCATGGTGTATGGGACTATTCAGACAAGGTTGGAGAATGGTAAACCGGGTATGGAAAGATAAACTTCCTCTCAACCTGGGACCAAACCAAAGATTTAATCTCTTGCTCCCCCTACAGCCTCCCTGAGAAAAACAGCACCATCTACAAATGTCATGTGAATGCTACCTCTTCTCCCAGTGAAAATCATCCTGTGCCCTTTGGGGGATACTATTCCTCCTTCGTAAATTTTCAATTGATTTCTTGTATCCAAAACTGCACAAGACACACCATCCATCAGGTTACCCCTAACCAGAGTGCTAATTTAATGTTGTTAAATGTCACCAGTGAAAGTAATGAAAAAAAACGATTGATGTATGGAATCCAGTTAGTCATTGGTCATGGGCGTAGCCTTGACCAAAAACGGGGATTGTGGAAGTATAACATTGTATAAGTATAACATTGTATAAGGGGACATGCTGGATACATTGTATATGAGAGGGCATGCCAAAACATGTTACAAAGTATCTGAGGGTGCACACGTAGGGACAGTTAGCTTTTGAATGGAGAAGCAATTAAGATAGAGCCAGCACATCTAAGAAGCAGGCATCAGAATGGAAGGTGTGAAGGGCAATTAGTTCAGTTAACTGGAAGCTGTTAAAGGAGATTGTTAAGGGTGGCAGGTACTTGAAGATACGTGACTGGTCTCAGGGATCTCGAAGGGTGGTGACTAAAATCTTTTTCTTCTTTTGTCTGTAACTTCTCTGTAACTTGTTCTCCAGCAAGCTGTATAAATTAAGAGACACAAGCCCCACTCGGGGGGCTCACTTCTAAATGTATTAGCAGAGCAGCTTTGCTAATAAAACAGAGTGGTCTGATAAATTGTGAGTCTGAGTCAAACTTTGACAGTGGTTAAGCTCTGAAATAAATTACCTAAGGAGGATATGGAATCTCCACCGCTGGAGGTTTTTAAGAACAGGTTAGAAAAACACCTCTCAGGGATGGTCTAGATAATTCTTAGTTCTGCCTCTGTCCAAATTAGTGTAAAATGCTACTAAAATCAGAATGCTAAAGATTTTCATCCTCTTTGTATTGTTGGAAATTTTATTTATTTATTTATTTTGCATATGCAATCTGATTGAGCCAAGCCACAGTGTTCTTATTGATGATGTTCAAGGCACGAAGACCTCCAGGAAGTTGAGTCATTTGGCAGTCCTAAACAATATATATCATGGTTTGTGGATGCCCATATTGACATAATGGGCTGTCTCTAAAATGCCACCGAAATTCCGCTGCAGCACAAATTCCATGTCCGGTACAAAACCAATTCAGAAGGCTCCATTGCCTTTGTGGTAAATCAAACCCAGGTTGACGGTGAGTGGGGTCTGAGTCAAGATAATTATTTGTTGGAAATAACTACATAAGGTGCAGGGCACCAGGAAGTGTGGCTCATCTGCTAAGGTAAGCACTACACCCGGTAGCAAGCACAAAATGGGAAAGAATCAGAAAATGAAAGTGATTAGAAACTTGTCTATACAACTTCTCTCTGTACAAAAGAGCAGCTGACTAGTCTATTTTCATAATTCAAGACAAACAATATGCAATCAGTAAACAGGTAGGGTCAATGGTGAAAGACAAATGAAACATCTGACATCTCAGCTGTAATAATCTGAGGCATTGATTGAGTTGGTAATCTCTATAGTCTCTGTTGCTCTCTGGTTCTGCATTGTCAGGGCTTCCTCAGCCAGCGGTTGATCTCAGGACCAACTTCATATTAGCTGGAGAGCAAGGGTGTATATTCTCAAAGTGTCAAGGCCAGAGGTGGTTTCCGGTGTCAATCTGATTGGGATGAGCTGGGCGGAAGAGTCTGAATTTTTCTGGAAACTGGTGAATGGTTCCAGTCATTGAAGTTATTGTCTTCTAGCAGCACATTTTAGAACCTTCACCAGCTACTCAGAGCCCTCCTTTCATAAAGCCCATTTTACATATGGGAATAGCACCTAATCTTACCCCAGGGAACCACAGTTGAGGGGAATATTTACAAATAAATAAACCAGCACAAAGGAGTGCAGGAAGGCCAAGAATTGTAAGCAAATGGAAAACGGAAGAGTGATTGGAAGAATCATCAATGACTCGAGTTCTCAGGGGCTTCAGAGTCCGGTGCCACTGGGTCAGGATGGTGTTTCTGGCTCCTACCCATTTTCCTGGTCCAGCCAGGCGATACTGGCAAGGGGTGCATGGCCCAAAGAAAACTTCCAGGGCCAGCTTGGGATCCTTCAGGAATAGCAGCAGTATGTTGGGTTTTACACCAACACATGATGCAATTTCATCCATGTAGCCAATGTAACTCAATATGATTTTGCTCTCCTTGTTGGAAAGACCCCTTCATTAGGAAATAAAATAAAGAGGTTATTGTATTTCTGGGTATATAAAAAATGCGTGACTGAAACTCCTTCCCATTTCCCTGATTCATACAAAGCTCCGTGCAGAGCAAATGGTCAGACATGCAAACCATTAAAGACATGGCTATAGAATAACACTGAAAACGTAATGCCATCATATACATCAATTTTATGCCCTTCATCTTGGTTCAGTTTTGGCCACCCTATCTGAAAAAGGGAGTAGCAGAAATAAAAAAGATCCAGAGAAGGGCTATGAAAGTTAAGAGGGTTCCCCTCTGAGGAGAGTTAAAAACATAAGGGACCATATCCTCCCACCTCTGTCTGCCTGTTTTGCTCTGCTCAGGTCATTTGTCACCAGTTCATTAAGAGCTAGACTGAGATCATCTGCTCATCTCACAAGAGTTCACCGTCAGCCATTAGTTAGGTGATTTTTTATCTCGATCACTAACTTGATCTTAATTTGAACCAGAGCCCAGGTAATGAAATCTACACAAGTTATTTCATGGGTAGGTGTGAGTCACTGGGATTTGGAACACATCCTCACTCTTTCTGCATTAGGTCTTGTTGTCACGATATAAAAAAAGAGGTGTGTTAGCTCACTGGAGTTAGTGAAGAGCTTGTCTTCATTGCAAAGTTCACTTGAGTTATTACTCAAGTGTTTCTCCTCACTTGAGTCCCATTCATGCAGAAAGTGCTGCGATGCTTTTAACTTGAGTTGGTTAGTCCCTATAGGCTAAAACTCACCTTGGCACAATTTGCCATCTGCTAACACAACTACTCTGTGGTGTGGACGCAGGCTAGCTCCCCTCGAATGCCAACAGTCCAGTGCCTTCCCACAATTCCCCCGTGTGCTCAGACAGGACAGACAAGTTCTCCCACAATTCACAGAGCAACTCAGTTTACTGCAGCACAAAGAATCATGGGATATGTTCCCAGAAGTCATTGTGCCATGTATGGATGTAGACTCTGCCAGTCTAGTGCTGCAGCGCAGGGAGCAGCACAGTGTGGAGACTGAGGCTGCCTTCCTACTGGCTTGCGCCGGAGGGCCGAGCCAGAAGTTTCATGAACATGCCGGACTGGCCTCTATGTGACTTCAGAGATGGAGCAACCCTGCGGGGCGGGTGGGGAGGGAGGGGAAGGGATGTATTCTCTTTGGTTGCATGGAGGGGAAGCCATTTTCTGACTCTCCTGGTCAGAAGCCTGAAGCTGACTCAGAGGCCCCGCACTTCTCCAGGAAGCCTGAACATCCAGAAGCTGTGGCAACTCTAAGAGCTGGAAGACAACAATGCCCACAGGCCCCTTCTGCACTGGAGGCCAGGAATCAGCCATGGCTTGATTTGCTTGGGACACCAACCAGCCAACTGTGAAATTGCCCACAGTGATGCCAGCCTGCCCCTTGATCTCCAGCCACACTGCGCGAATTGGGCCCAAGGAGAGTTTGGGAATGGCCATTGTTGTAACACAGGCCAGGGATCCATTTTAGTGCCATCCCCAAGTGTGTCTCCTGATCTCCTCTCCTTCCTTAATTCCCCCTTTTCCTGTTCCAGGAAATGAACAGTTGTAATTCTTATCTGGGCATAGTTACTACACTAGTTAACTTATTCCTAGAGGTCCTAGCAGCGTGGCCACCTGTACCACCAGCCAATAGGTGGAGACACCGTTCATCAGGAACCAGATCCCATTGGTCCCAAAGGGGTGTGTGTCAAAGAGTACCGAAGGAGGGAGGAACCAAGCCCTCCACTGCCTTTGGAGATCAGGGGTGCCCCAGAAGGGGGGTTACAATTGCTGAGCACAGAGCCAATGTGAGACAGCAGCTGGTGGGTTATTTCTGTGTGGCTGCTCTCACGTAAGCCAGGCTAACTTGAAAAAGAGTAACTCCAATGCAGATAACTCTGCCGTGAAGACACACTCTAATTCAAGGGGAAATGCTAGTGAGGACAAGGCAGGTTTTAGTTTTCACATGTGGCAGCAGATCGAATTAAAGTCTAGATTTTAAGTATAGCTCGACCTGCCAACTCGTGAAAACTACAGGCTTCCTTATAAGAACATAAAGGCCATACTGGGTCAGACCAATGGTCAGTCCAGCCCAGTATCTTGTCTTCTGACAATGGCCATTGCCAGGTGCTTCAGAGGGAATGAACAGAACAGGCAATCATCGAGTGATCATCCCCTGTTGGCCACTCTCAGCTTCTGGCAGTCAGAGGTTAGGAACACCCCGAGCATGACTAATAGCCACTAATGGACCTACCATCCAGGAACTTATCTAATTCTTTTTTGAATCCTGTTATAGTTCTGGCCTTCACAACATCCCCTGGCAACAAGTTCCACAGGTTGACTGTGCATTGTGTGAAGAAATACTTCCTTTTGTTTGTTTTAAACCTATTAATTTCATTGGGTGACCATGGTTCTTGTGTTCTGAGAAGGAGTAAATAACACTTCCTTATCACTTTCTCCACACCAGTCATCATTTTATAGACCTGTATCATATTCCCCCTTAGTCATTTCTTTTCCAAGTTGAAAAGTCCCAGTCTTATTAATCTCTCCTCAGATGGAAACTGATCATTTTTGTTGCCCTTCTTTGTACCTTTTCCAATTCTAATATTGTTTTTATCTTCACTAGGATTTTGCCTTGAGTTAGCTCTTGCTTGAGTTAAGAACACACCTTTTTTTTGTAGTGAAGACAAGGCCTCAGTCCTTGTGAAAGGGAGACAATTGTTGAGATGATGGGTTTTGAAGGTCATAGATCAAAGTCTATAATGCCCAAGCAAATGGATCTTTAAAGATCATTCTCAGTGTCCTGGACAGTTCCATATTTTATGGTTCTCTCTAAGCCATGGGTGGCGCATGACTCCTGGATTTGGGGAGGCTGGGCCTGAGTGCCGGAAGCACTGGGTGGGCCACTGGTGCCTGGACCGTGGCTCCACCTCCTGCTCCGCCCCGAGGCTCACCCCACTTGGCATCCTCCCCCCAGGTCTCGCCAACACTCCACCCCCACTGTGCCCCAGGCCCTGCTCCTGCTCGGCCCCCCTCCTCCAAGCCCTCCCCTGCCACTCACGTCTTTCTGCCCCCTCCTTCAAAGGCCCCCCCTGCTGCTCGCGCCACTGTCCGCCTCCTCCCCCGAGCCTCTCTGTCTCTCAGGGGGTGAAGAGGCATGAATGGTGGGTGGGGGGGACCATGAGGGTAGGGGAGAAGAGGCACGAGAAGCGGGAGGGTGGGAAGTGGTGGAGCGGGGATGGGAAGAGGAGCAGTGTGGGCAGGGCCATGGGGTAAGAGTGGGATGCGGGAGCAGGGCCTCAGGTGGAGTGTGGGCAGGGCCATGGCCCGGGTGCCCTTTTGGTGGTGGCACTCCTGTTCCTCAGACGTTCTTGTTAATCGTTCTGGATTTGTGCTGGAAATGGCCCACCTAGATTATCATACACATTGTAAGGAGAGTGATCACTTTAGATAAGCTGTTACCAGCAGGAGAGTGGGGTGGGGGGAGAGAAAATCTTTTGAAGTGATAAACACCCATTTTTTCATGATCTGTGTGTATAAAAACATCCTCACTGCGTTTTCCACTGTTATGCATCTGATGAAGTGAGCTGTAGCTCATGAAAGCTTATGCTCAAATAAATTGGTTAGTCTCTAAGGTGCCACAAGTACTCCTTTTCTTTTTGTGAATACAGACTAACACGGCTGCTACTCTGAAACTCCAAAGGCAGTAGACTAGTGGCATGCCTCCAGAGGGAGGCACGCCACATCCTGTTTGGGGAGGCTTAGGTTCCCCTGGCCTATTATACCCACTGCCCATGGTTTAAGCCCATGAGAAGATTGTTGTTGTCATGTCTTCCCTGCCACTTTCTCCCTGAGCTGGATTCCAGGTACAGAGAGGGAAGCAGTGAGAATTGCAACATAGCCAGGAAAGCACGAGGACGAGAGTGGGCCTCCTGGAGCTCCAGCGTGGTCATGAAAGGAAATTCTTTTGCAACTTAAATGGGGTCAGCAGATAGGATCCCCCCCAGAACTATGATGTGGTTACTAGAGGGACACATTGTATGCAGTGTTGTAATTGCCAGAGGATTCCACTCCAATCCTGGCGGGCATCGTTTTAACAGGCACTAGTGTAGGATGCTGCACACGCTGTTCTACCAGCAGCCTCATCAGACTGGGCTGCAATGAGAACTCTTTCAGTTTTACAATCAGTGGTTGACTCTCACTCCTGTTTTTCCTGAACTAGAAAGAAGGGGAATCCAGGCACAGGAACCAGCTGCCATTTCTTCCTAGCCACAAGATGGTGCCACTGCTCTAGAGGAAAACATTAACTTCAGGTTTCAGAGTGGTCGCTGTGTTAGTCTGTATCAGGGTTAGAGCCGGATCAAATAAATCCCAAACTGTTCAAAGCTCTCCTGTTTTGTTCTGTTGCAACTCGAGCCTTGGTCCAGGTCTGTCAAGAAGTTTGTGATCCCTTTGAGCTCACTCAGATCTGGTTCCCAATAGAAATGGATCTATTTTGAGTGCTACTGTGTCAAACTGGTACCATTTCTGGGTGATTTTGAATCTGCGTGAAACTCAGTTTCATTCAGTTTCAAAAACTTGGAGGAGGGCATGAATGAAACAAAAGAAATGTTTCAAATGAACTCCTGCGAGTCCAACCCCACTCTATTCAGGAGCATTGGTTAATGGCATTCTAGGGTCCTGTTAGCCACAGAAATGCATGTCTCCCTGCAATCAGAGGCATCAGTGCAGGATGTGTGGACACACCCGAGCTAGCTGGTACCAGTAGCAGTCCAGCTGTGGCAGCGTGGGCTTCAGTGTGGCCTGTACAAGCCCACCTGGCACCCTGGCTACCTACTTGGGAGGCTAAGCTGTGCTGCTGCAGCAGATTACAGCTAACACGGTATGTCTACATGTCCTGTAGTCACACCTCTGACTGCAGTGGAGACATAGCCTCTGTCAGAAGAGTTTCCCCTGACTCTCTTCGTCACCTGTTTGGTTCCACAGAAGGAGAATTAAAAGCCAAAACCCAAACAGATAGGGAAAAAATTGCACTAAAAAAGTTTTTCTATTAATCTAGCTAGTCGGTGGAAGGAGGGTCCAGTGGTCAGAGTGTTTGTCTAGAACAGGGGTTGGCAACCTTTGAGAAGTGGTGTGCTGAGTCTTCATTTATTCACTTTAATTTAAGGTTTCGCGTGCCAGTAATACATTTTAACGTTTTTTAGAAGGTCTCTCTCTATAAGTCTATATATTATATAACTAAACTATTGTCATATGTAAAGTAAACAAGGTTTTCAAAATGTTTAAGAAGCTTCATTTAAAATTAAATTAAAATGCTGATCTTACACTGCCGGCCTGCTCAGCCCGCTGCCAGCCTGGTGTTCCATTCACCTAGGCCGGCAGCGGCCTGAGCGGGGCCTGCGGCTGGGACCCCGGCTGGCCAGGGGCCGGCAGCCAGAACCCCAGACCAGCAGCGGGCTGAGTGGGGCCAGTGCCCGGGACCCCAAACTGGAGGTGGGCTGAGTGGCTCAGCCCGTTGCCATTCAGCCCGCTGCCGGTCTGGGATACCGTCCCTGCCCACATACAGTGGGTACCTACCTTCTCCCTGGTTCTAGCCCCCTCTCTTCCTCTCTCTCTCTGCACTGAGCTGAGGGTGGGAGTGCACTGAGCATAGGGCTGAGGGTGGAGGAGTAGACTGGGGGTTGGGGTGTAGGGCCTGGCCAAGAGCTAGAATGAGGGAGGGGGCTCAGGGTTGGGGCAGGAGGTTGGGATGTGGAGCGCTTACTTGGGCAGCTCCCATTTGGTGCTCAGGGTGGGGGTGGGAATGGGGGGTGCAAGAATCAGGGCATGGGGTGTGGGGGGTGCTGGAGCCAGGGCTGGCGTCCTGCGGGGGTGAAGGGGTCAGGGCAGAGGGCTGGTAGTGTGTGTGTGGGGGGGTGCAGGGGTCGTGGGGGTGCTCCCATCCCCCTGCCCAGAGCGGCTCACGGCAGGGGGCTGGAGGGGATATGCCCTGATTCCACCCCCCTTCCCCAAGGCCCCGTGTCCCTACCTCTTCTCTGCCTCCTCCCCAGAGCTGCAAGTGCGCTGTGGCTCCGCTTCGCCCCCTCCCTCGCAAGGGCCATCAGCTGATCAGCGGCAGGGAGGGAGAGGAGGAGGGGCAGGAACCCAGCACGCTGGGGGAAGGGGGAGCTTGCCTGCCCTGCAGCAGCAGCTGCGGACCAAGCTTCTTCACCCTGCGGGGGTGGCAGAGAAGAGTGGGCCGGGGCAGGCAGGATTTTTAATGGCAGGCTGCTGCCTGCCGGGGTCCTGGCCCCGACCCCGCTCAGCCCGCTGCTGGCCTGGGTTCGGCAGCGGGCTGAGTGGGGCCGGCGGCTGGGACCCGGCAGGCAGCAGTGTGCTATTAAAAATTGGCTCGCATGCCGTCTTTGGCATGTGTGCCATAGGTTGCCAACCCCGGGTCTAGAACTTGAGAGACCTGAGTCTCTGCTCCTCCACACACTTTCCATGTGACTTTGGGCAAGTCACTTGGTCTCGAGGGCCCAGATCCTCAAAGGTATTTAGGCTCCTCACTTCCTGAAAGCTCTAGCTGAGGTGCCTCAATTTCCCCATCTGTAAAATTGGGATAACAGCATTGCCTTGCCTCACAGCATTGTTGTGATGATAAATACAGCAAAATACTGCAAGGCACTCAGAGGCTCTGGTGACAGGGATAGATAGAGGGGCTACCTCCCCCTGTTCAGCAGTGATGTTACTGACTGGAGCATCATGCCTTGAATATGGAATAGAATAAGTAGCATTTTGTACTGTTTGATTAGATGCTGCTGCTTCTTGGCAACTTCAGCCATCAGCCTGCTGGCAGTAGGAAGCTGGTTCAACCCTGGGAACATAAGAGAAACCAGAGAACATACTAGCATTTTTCACAGATGATCCCGAAGTCCTCAAACCAGTCAGTCCACTCTGAGCTCCTTCACTGATTACATCGGAGGCTGGACATATTTAGCAAGAGCTGAGCTAAGTATTAGGAGCCAGATCCTCAGCTGGTGCAAATCAACACCGCTCCACTGAAACAAGCAGAGCTAGGTGAGTTTACACAGCTGAGGCTCGAAGTCATGTGTCGCAGAGAAGCTAGTGTGTTGATTCTTTGTGGAATTATGCTCTGTCTAGGGTCACATTCTACTAATGGCACCACAGCTAGTGGGAGGGGCTAGCTGGGACTGTACACAGGTGGCCAGCTCACACTGCCATGGTTACGCTGCTATTTTAAGCGCACCAGCTAGATCAAAGCTAGCGTGTGTACGTCTGTGCGAGCTAGGAAGTACAGCTGCAGTACAGACAAACCCTCAGTCTGCCTACCTTTAAAGACCCTTGTGGCCCAACGAGCCTGGAGTTCCGTTCCTGCCATGATGGAGCCACTTAGCTGTATAAGGCCAAGGACAACCAGAGTCGGCTTTTCCAGAGCGGGTGGGAAGATGTATTTGTAAAGGGCATACTTGCTTCTGCAGATGTTGCGAACAGACTCTTCAAGGAAGGGAAAAGAGAAAGTGTATCCGGTCGCAAAGACCACCACGTCGATGTTCTCCTCTACGGTCCCATCTTCAAAGACAGCTGAGCTTTCTGTAAACTCCTTCACATTTGGTTTTACCACAACAGCACCGCAGAGGATGCAGCTTGGCAGCTCGTCATTCACAATTAAGCTTAGGTTTGGACTGCCACATAGAAGGAAGGGAGAGAGAGAGATTGAGTGCAGTGTTTGCTCTGACATGGGGTGTGAAAAGAACCAAAGCAGAGCTGGAATTCTGGCTACACTACAATGAATTGTGAGGTGTGGAAGAGCTAATGGGGTAAGACCAGACATGGAGCAGGTAGGTGCTCAGGGGTGAGGTGTGTAGATGGGGAAATGTGGAGGGAACTTGCCATGTTCTGTGGATAAGCAGAAGCAGGCAGAATCCAGATCTGTTTCTCCAGTACCAGCTGGGACTACCATTTGTCAGCTAGATTCTCTTTTGCACCAAGGTGTACTTCATGTAGAAGAGGATGGGGAACGGCTGGTGAGCTGGTATAGCTTCCTGATCCTCAAGGCGCTGTGGCATAAGTTAGAGCTGCCTAATTTTGCTCTAACTTATGACAGCTGGCTCTGATCCCTAGGCACCGCACTGCAACTGGGCCAGGAGGAACAGAGCTGTGCTCCATCCAACCCTCATCCCACCTGGGTTGTGGGTGGGGTGGTCAGTGGAGAAGCTGGCTGTGCTGGCTTCATGCCCACTGAGAGTCAGCTGGCCAGGTGTAGTCAGATTCCATCTTCTTCATGCTGCTCAGGCTGTGCAAAGGAGAATCTAGCCTTACAATGGTGTTTTTCATGTCAATAGTAATGTTTCTTTGAGTGGAAAGCTGAGCCAGCAACTCATGTTATGTAGACCAGTGCTACTCAAAGCGGTGGCCCGCAGACCGGTGCCGGTCTGTGAGCCATCGGCTGCCGGTCTGCGCACACATTGGGAAAAAAAATGGCCAGTCCCCCACATCCGATAGCTTGAGAAGCACTGCTGTAGACAACCAAAACAGCACTCAGAACTGAGTGATCCTAAATTCCTGTCACTGAGCTAGGCTGAATTTGAACTACTGACCTAGATGCCAAAGGGTCTTTGTCAGCCTCCTGAGTAGGGTTGGGCAAATCACTCATTTTTCAGTTTGGAGGTTGAACAGAAAAATTGGAAAAAAAAAATACTTTCAGGTTGAACTGAAACCATTTTTTTCCCCTCAACAAAACAACCCTCATCCCAAAACAGCTCCCAAAACACAGTTTCAGATTGAACAAAACATTTTGTTCAACCTGAAACAATTGTTTTCATTTTGTTTTTAGTTTTGGGGGGGGGGGGGATGTTAAATGTTTTTTAATGTTCTTTTAAAATTAAATCGACATAAATTCCAAAAGAAAACCACTTTCTAAAAAGTGGAAACATTTCAATTTGAATATGCTAAAATAAAAACATTTTGATTTTTCCAAAAATTTAGTTTTTTCATTTTTTGGCCAAAACTATGTGTCAGATTCGACCCGCATTAATGAATAGTTTCAGTTGACCAAATCTGCATTTTTGCAGTGAAAAAACTTTGCATAAAAATATTCACCTCACTCTACTCCCGAGCTATCCAGTCTCCTGCCTTCTGTAGGGTAATGTTCTAAGTCCTTAAATTATAGATCCAAATGGGAGTCTGTTACACTGTTATCCAGAAGAGGCAGCTGTCAATCTGGTAGATTCACACCAACGTATTACATGGAAACAAATGTGAAAAATTGCCACCATTGGCAGATAGGTGTTAAACCCTAAACTAGAAGTGCCTATGAGCACGGCAATGTAGGGCTTTGATAGTCTGTAACTATTCCCCAAATGAAACGGGAGATTTACACTGAAAACAAAGAAAGCACCTTTTCTGAGGAATCAAACCATAATTTGCATGGTCAAACCACGTATTGAACTTCTTCATCCTCAGCAGTCTCATGAGGGCTAATGGGAGGAAGTTTTCGAGACAGTTGTGAAAGCGAGTGGTGAGCATCATGTCAAGAGGAAAGCCATGGTCTGAAATACGACTAATCACCCACGTGCCACTTCTGGTGCTGAGAAACACCTGGAAAATAATTGAGGCTTGAGAAATGTATTGCCCGGGAATCTGGTTTCCTTTTTTTTGGTTCTCACTGTCAAATCATATCTTGCATGTTTGCTAGGAGGTCTTCAGCATGGAAGGGTAGAGAGCTAACCAGAATATCCCAAGATAAGGAGGTTGGGGTAAGGAACCAGGCTCCAGAAGTCAGTTCAGTGTCTCTCTCTGACTCCTAGTGGCTGCAAAACCACCAGTTTATCTGCTGAACTGACTTGGAAAACGGTCCAGGAAATTGAAGTATATCTTTTTATAGCCCTTGATCTGAACCTCCGTGCAATTCGCAATGCCTAATCTCAGCATGTCCTCGGCTACTAATTTGTTCACGCCATTCTAATATCATCTTGCATCCTTCCTGAGGCACTTTCCAAGGGCAGTAATTAGGGCTTTTGAAGAGCTCAAGATACTAGCTATGTTTCCTGACTTGGGGAATGGGTGGGAGAATAGTCACAGGCCCTGCTCATGAGTGCAGGACTATCAGTGAAACCTTTGCAACATTCTGCTTTCCATTTCTTTCAAAGAAGGCTCCTTCGCAGCCTACACAAAGGATTCTGGGGCACATCTAGGACTGAAGGTGCCAGGTTGCACGTGGCTGATCTGGAAACAGCAAAGCTACTTTGGAGATGGAACTGGGTAGGTGTGAGATGGGACAAAAAAGGATGGTGGACTTAAAGGAAGAAAACTGTCAGGGAGGGAGGGGATGGTTGGTGGTCACAGGAAGAGGTGCTTTCTGTCCAGGAACCTTTGATCTACTTAGAATTCTTTGCCAATTGCATACATTCTGGTTTCAAAAGGGTAGCATGTGTATTTGGGGCAACCCACTCTACAAGTAGTAACAGCAGATATTGTAGTTATAGTGTCGAGAGAGAAACCACGATCAGCACGGCTGGTGCTGCCCAGGATTTGATCTGCCTTTGCTTGTGGCCCACTGGACTTTTGTTACAGCCACCCCAAAGTGACAGTGTGTGTGCCTGAGGAACTCAGACTCCAAATCTCTACACCATCCCAGAGTTGTACCTGAGCAGCCACCCGACTGATCTCCGCGGCGATATCTCCTCCAGAATTCCCAACACCGAGCACAAGGACTCTCTTCCCCTGGAAACTGGCAGAGTCTTTGTATTCCCAGCTGTGGAGATACTGGCCTCTAAAGCGATTTTCTATACCTGTGAAGAAAGCAGGGAGCATCTCCTGCCACTAGATAAATGTGCTTGTTACACTGAGACAATTCTGCCTGGACAGTATTGCTTTTGACCCTTAATTCCTGTTGAATGACGCTAGTCTTCCCACTTCGTGTCCAACCATTTTTCCTTAAGTGTCAGATTCAAGTGCACTTGAGATCAATGGGAGTCTTTCCATTGATTTCACTGGGTGATGTGTGGAGCCCTGAGTACTCTGAAAGGATCCAATACCCTATCCTTCTGGGCCCCCTGGTTTTTATTCCTATGCCAAGACAATGCCACCTTTTTAAATCTGGAGTTGCTAATACGTTGACATCAATGTTTCATTTGCATCATGCTCCTCTTATGTGGAGTAGGTTCAATTCAGGCCTGGGGGTTTGCAGAGATCATGGAGTATATACAAGTAATAACAATGAATTGTTTTAGCTTATATATTAGTATCAGAGGGGTAGCCGTGTTAGTCTTTATCCACAAAAACAACAAGGGGTCTGGTGGCACCTTAAAGACTAACAGATTTATTTAGGCATAAACTTTTGTGGGTAAAAAACCACACTTACATCAAAGAAGTGGGGTTTTTTAATCCACGAAAGTTTATGCCTAAATAAGTCTGTTAGTCTTTTAGGTGCCACCGGACTCCTCATTGTTTTTCTTATATATCAGTGCTTTCCATCCTCCTCCTTCAGGATCTTTGCAAATTCTGTGCTAGGTCCTCAGCTGATATATATCAGCAAAGCTCCATTGACTTCAATAGCTACATCAATTTACACCAGCTATGGATCTGGCCCTTTAGATTTTCATCTTGTCATGGGAGAAGGTGCGGCCAATTGCATGTTCCTTTAAGGGGCTATGACATCTTCCCCTCTGTGGATTCTAATCACTGCAGGTGGGGCTTCCCAAAGTGAGGCATGGCAGAAAACTCACGGAAAATGGGTCAGACTGATTTTCTCCTTAGTTGCAAAGCTATACATTTTCTTCCTGTAGATCTGGGAAGCTGTGTATTAGCTCTACTCTGCGATGTCATCCTGGTGATCCCTCAGGCAGTCAGTTTCAGTTTGTGCTTCACCTGCGTCACATTAAACCACGCTCATAGCTGGGGCTAATTAATAACCTCATTGGCAGCCTCATTAGCGAGGCAAGGGCTGAAAGGACATTAGGAATAAAATATCCTCTTACTACAGAGACCATCTCTTCTGGGCAGATCAGAAGGACACAGGCAGGGCACTGCAGGGAAGCACACAGGGAGTCATATTCCAGGCCATTAATGAATTCACCTTATTCACTAATGCTGGTATTCATCCTGCCACAGACTGCTTCGCCAGGGCTGAATTTCACCCCACAAGCCATGTAGCTTTCTGTAATATGTTCAGCTGTAAATGCAGGACTTACCAGGGAAAGAATCCAGTGGTAAATGGGGCTCTGCATAGTGGCCACTGCAAACCATAACAGCGTCAAAAATGGCCGACTCAACCGTCCCATCAGTCTCGGTGACAACATCCCACTGGCCAGTGGTGGAGAAATCTGGGCGTTTCCTTACACTGTGAACTGTGGTCTTACAGGAAACCACATGAAAATCAAAACACCATTATGGATTGTTCTTTATGGTAAATGGGTTCCATGTGTGAATGGTTAGACCCAGATCCCCAAAGATATTTGGGTTCCTAAATCCCACTGGGAGTTATGAACTCCACTGGGAGTTAGGCATCTACAGACCTTTGAGGATCCGGGCCTCAGTGCTCGGGTAAGCCTGGAAGTACAGACATTTCTTTCTTCTGTAAGTATGCAGGACCCCTGCTCCAGCCCCTTTGCACCAGGGCAGTAATGCTAAGGAGCTGAAAAGGGTAGCTGAGGGGTGTGACCTGTCACCAGACACCATAGATTAGGGCAGCCTTGAGCCTCCTTTCACTAGCACTGGGGGTCAGACTTCCAGCCTAGCTACCTCCAGGATTGGGGGAGCACAAAGGTGACATTAAATGTTAAGCCGTCTTTGTCCCCACACCTCTTTGGGTCCTGCACCAAACGTAGCTTGGGCAGACCTGAAGGCCTGGCATGTCAACTGCAGCGTTGCACACACACAAACCTTTGACTTCCTTCTTACCTTGAAACGTATGTATCTGAGAAGGCTGAAGTGCTCGGCGTACATTCTGAAATACTCCAGGAGCCTGGAGTGGTGCATGTAGTTGGGGAAATCCTCTGGGAAGGGGAAGTCGCTGAAACACATCATCTCCTTGGACGTGTTGGTTATCACCGATCTGTAGACGCTGATCCTCCCAGCTTCCTGTGTCAAATGCAAAATACGCAACATGTTGTCAAAAAGTGACTGATTGAGAGGGAGTTGCTTGACTTGGGTCATCAAAGCAGGGTTCAACAGCCCACTGGTACACAGAACAGACACATGGGTTCCACACCACCACCTCAGGACTTGTCTACACTGGGAAGTTATTCCAGAATAAGGTAGGGGGTGAATTCATAGGTGCCGACTCCATGGGTGCTCCGGGGCTGGAGCACCCACAGGGAAAAATTGATGGGTGCTCTGCACCCACCGGCAGCCAAGCTCCCTGCCCTGCCCCCCCACCCCAGCTCACCTCCGCTCCGCCTCCTCCCCTGAGCGCGCCACATCGCCGCTTCTCCTCCCAGCGCTTGCCGCCACAAAACAGCTGTTTCATGGTGTAAAAAGCTCCGGGAGGGAGGGAGGGAGGGAGGAGGAGCGGGAATGCAGCACACTCAGGGGAGGAGGCGGGGAAGAGGTGGGGCTGGGGCGGGGATTTGGGGAAGGAATCCAGTGGGGGCAGGGAGGGGGAAGGGTTGGGGCAGGGACTTTGGGGAAGGGGTTGGAATGGGGGCGGGGCAGGGGTGGAGTTGGGGCGGGGGCAGGCGGGGGGGTCAAGCACCCACTAGCGCCAGGAGAAGTTGGTGCCTATGGGTGAATTTAAAGGGCTATAGCTGTTCTGGAATAACTCTATGTGGACACTCTTATTTTGGAAGAAGAGTGCCTTTTCTGGTTTAGCTTAATCCACTTTCAAAGTGGATTCAGATAACACAGAAAAAAAAAACCCAACAACAAAAACAAACCAGACATGCTTATTCCAGAGTAAGTGTGTCCATATGGGGAGCTATTCCAGAATGTTTTGGGGTTTTTTTTGCAGTAGCTACTCTGGTCAATTTCCCTATGTAGACAAGCCCTCAATCTCCTCATATCCCTGTCTTTATAATGGAGTTACTGAGGGACTGGATACACCTGATTTCCAGACTCTGGTGCATTGCTCCAGTGTAAGTACTGACTTTACTGGGGAAGAGTAGATACATGTATGACAGAGACTATGGCTCTTGTCATTCCATCTCCTTATCCCTGTGAAGTCAGAAAGGGAAGCCCAATGAGTCAGGTCTGAAAATTTGCCTAGGTCCATGGGTACAGTCTCTTCCTTGGCTGCAAATGTAAACTATGGTAATATTCAAAACAACACATAGCCTGGTCCAAAATAAACACCTTGTTAAGAAGTCACTGGATAAGGAAATCCCACTCACTGTGAACCTCCAGAGGCCCCCGATGTCATGACTTTGCTCAAAGCAGGTGGGCTCCAGCCCCTCATCCAGACAGCACTTGATGGAGGCCAGTCCACTGGACCCAGCTCCAATGATTGCCACCCTCTGGACCATGCTGTGCTGTATCAGGAGAGAGTCAAGTTGGTGTCAACGTCAATGTCACAGTGCCTCGCATTGTGAGAGCTTAAGCTGGAGTACAGCAGGGAAATAAATGATTAAGTAGCTGGAATTTCTGCAGCTCAGTAAAGGACAAAGGTTAATACATAGGTTCAAATTTGTATTGCTGTGCTGCTGCAACAACAGGGATTTTTCAGGGCAGGGAGTAGGGCCGGCCTTAAGGAAAATGGCGCCCTGGGTGAACTTGTATTTTGGTGTTCCTGGCCCCCATGGGCAAGGTGCTCCGCCCCATTGCCCCTGGCTCCTGTGGGCTCCCGACCCCTGTAGGCTCCCCACCCCCTAGGCCCCTGCTGCCTCCTTCAATGCTTAATTTGTATTGGAAGAGGTGCCATGACTCAGCCCCAGCAAGCCCCTGCACAAATTAAGAACTGGCCGGGTGGCTGGAGAGTGGTGGCGGCTGGCTGGGCGTCTAGCTCTGAAGGCAGTGCCACTGTCAGCAGCAGTGGAGAAATAAGGGTGGCATGGTATATGGTGTACTGCTTTTTGTGCTGCACTGTTCCTTCTGCGCCCCTAACTCCTTTGCTCCCCTGAGCCCCTAACCCCTGCTGCGCCCATGTGGGGAAACTGACCTGGATACATAGAATGGCTGGCATTGCTGCTCGCTCCCACCTCAAATGCTGCTCCTCTGTGCCCCCCTAAGGGGCTGTGAGCAAGAAGCAATGTCAGGGCTCTCTGAATCCAGATTACTTTCCCCACCTGGGCTGCATAAGGGGAGGGCAGCAGCTCCTGATGCTCGCTTCACAGCACAGCCCAGGTGGGGAAAATGACCTGGATGCATGGAGTGCTTGATGTTTCTCTTCACTCTCCCCCCCTTCAGACACCTAGGGAGGAGTTGGGAGAGCAGTATCTGTGCATCAACACTCGTCCTCCCTCCCCATTGCGCGGGGAGGAAGCAGGGAGAAATCCGGGCACTCCCCCACCCCATGTGTTGCCTCTGTGAGTTTGTGGCGCTCCCCTGCCAGCCAGCAGTCTGTGCTTCTGTACTGCTGCACGGAACCCCCCTGACCACAGCGCCCTGTGCTCAGGTGGCCCACCCCTAAGGCTGGCCCTAGCAGGGAGAATGTCCTTAGGACTAAAGGCAGTGCCCATCTGTGACTAACAACTGTGGTTAACTTAACACCCCTGCTTTTCAGCAGCACCAGGCACTGGTGTCTTTTAAACCCTGACCAAAATGTTCAAGTCTGGCTTGCCTGAAGTCAGCCTCTTGAATCCGTAAGTGGGCCCGGCAGCAAACTAAGATTTATGGATGACAAGTATCAGGGATAGCCGTGTTAGTCCGTATCCACAAAAACAACAAGGAGTCCGGTGTCACCTTAAAGACTAACAGATTTATTTGAGCATAAGCTTTCATTGGTAAAAACCCCACTTCTTCAAATGCATGGAGCGAAAATTACAGATGCAGACACAAATATACTGACACATGAAGAGAAGGGAGTTACCTCACAAGTGGAGAACCAGTGTTGACAGGGCCAGTTTGATCAGAGTGGATGTAGTCCACTCCCAATAAGATTTATGGATGAAATCCTGGTCCCACTGCAGTCAAAAGCAAAACTCCCATTGATTTCAATGGGGCCAGGATTTTGCCCCATATGGCCAATTGCTAAAATTATGTTTGAGGACTCATGCGAAAGGCAAAGGGGTGGAAGCTCTTTTGTGGTGAAAACCTTCTCAGGCACTTTCAGACCCAGCCACCAACTCAGGGGATGAAGTCGTCATTGGGGTGAGACATGGACATTAAGATCCAGTGACAGTTTGGAACTGCTCTGCAATAATTTATGAATGCTGTAGGTTGACCTGGTTATTGGCATGGTCACTGTAGGAAGATAGTGGGTTAGTCTAATAGGGGCCTGTCAGAAAAGACAAGCAGAAAGAGCAAGAATGGCTCAGGATAAGCCACCCCTCAGTAAACAATTAAGGGCTGTTAGAATCAATGCCCAAACTATTAGCTTTGAAGATTCGGCCTCCTGGCAACCTATAGAACTGGTTGGGACCATGAAAGGAAAGGGGTCATGAGTACAGAAGACCAAAGAAACTTTCTCTCCAGGCTGGAGCAGTAGTTGTTTGAGAGAATCTGAGTGAGAGCCAGTCACCCACTGAGGGGTGCCTGAGGAAGTGAAGCCTGCCTAGTGTAAGCGGGGTAATGGTCTCGCTATTGTGGGGAACTTTCCTGGTTTCTGCACTACCCCAGTGAAATGGGCTAGTGAAAGGATCTGAGTCCTCGCTCCCACTCCCTTCACCCAGAGGCCTGCCTGACCTCAAGGGCTCCCCTTTCACTCTCCTGTGTGGCAGAGTCCACGTAACCCCAACAAGGCTGGGCCCAGATTTCCTGTGGGGCTTGACCCCCAATTGTGTCGTGGTCACTCAGGATAGGGGCTACGGTGTCCCCATGCCAGGGTGCTCTCTCCTCACTGGCTGCTTCCCTGACACACTCAGCACTGCTCTAAGTTTAAACCAAATACAATTAAAGAGCAACTGGAAGAATGGAAACAGTTAAAGGAAGCAGGCCCCTCATGGGCACGGGGAACACCATGAATAGCAGTGTCTGGGACATAAGGAAAGTTCAGTCCGTTCCTCACACCTCCCAGGACTCCCTACCAGGCCCTGGCGGTGCTGTCGTGATACCACAGATCAGAGACTGCTCTGGTGGTGAATACATGCTCTCAGGCTCTAGTGAGATCCTTCTTCCCAGCATCGGCCCTCCCATCCAGGGGCATGTCCCCACTCCGACTCCAGCCTCAAGGCTTCTTGGGCACTCCAGCCTCTTCTGGGCCCTCACTGCCCAGGGTCCCCCATCGCCCTCCTCAGCTGCTCGCCTCTCTCCGCTCCAGTGTTACTTGTGACCTGTCCGGTGGCCGCTCTCTGGCTTTGTGGCTCCCACTGCAGCTCAGCCCTGGCTCACCCTCGGCGTGGCTGGTCTGTGCTGCCCCAGCTCCTGGCTCCGGGCTGCTCTAGCTCCCTCTCTGGCTTACTTCTGCCTCCAGCTCAGCTCTGGCCCCCCCAGCTCAGTACTGCTGCTGCTGCTGTCTCCAGCCACGCTCCAGCTGCTGCTATCTCCTTGGCTCTGCTCTGGCAGCCCCAGCTCACACGGAGGGGGACCAGGCTCTTGACTCACTCTTTGGCCTGCTCACCCTGTCAAGCTGGCTGATTTGGAGAACAAGCTTCTCCCCAGTGGCCCTGGGGACTATCAGTCTCAGGATCCTGAGTCCTCTTTGGCCCTTCCCCTTTCTCCTGGTGTGGGAGAGGGTCAGCCAAAGTCTCACTAATCCACTAAGTTCCAGTAGGGGGCCAGCAACCCCAACATTAGGTTACCATCCACCACATAGGTAGGAGGGACTGCCAAGATGGACGTGCGTAGGCTGTTTTCAGTCCTTTTTCTCTCGGGTCTTTGTTCCTGCTGCAAAACAGACGATGCTTTGGGTGAAGCCAATGCTCTGACTGTACGAACACTGGTCACAGATTCCCAAAGGGAAGGACCCCGGGTGCTGAACCTAGTTGGTCCTGTTGCGTAAACATGGTTGTCACACAGGGTGCTGTAGCCTAGCGCCCAATCTCAAGAGTGGGTAAAGTGGCTGAATCCACCCCAGGAGTGGTGAAGGCAGGAAGCCTGGTGCCTGAGGGGATGCACTCGGAGAGACCAGAAAAGTGAAAGAGCGGCAGCCAGTCCTGTAATTGGGATATCATCTAGCTCTCAAACTATCACCCGTGTGGAGTAGGCGGTAATCTCCTGGAATGCATTTGCCTGCCTTGATAATAGGAGGTCGTTAGCTAACCAGGACTCCTGTATTAGGCAATAGGATAATGGATTCCGACTGGAATAGCAGGGTGTATTTTACACTTAAAACAAGACACACTTGCACAGCAGGAAGCCGGCAAGGACAGACTGTCAGCTGCGACCAGCGTGGGGCACAGGAGGATCGTTGCTTATAAGAGAATGAAAAGGTTCCTGTAACGACCCCTGGAAGTAGGCCATCATGGGGCGGCCTTGGGTCCAGGCAACCCCAAGCAGTGTTGAGTTTTTAAGTTTGTTTTCTGTTTGTCCCCTTGCTTGTAAACAGTGGTGAGCTGGAGCCGGTTCGCACCGGTTCGCGTGAACCTGTTGTTAAATTTTGAAGCAGTTTTAGAACCAGTTGTTAACCCGCTTCCCTGCAGGGGACCCTGAGGCTTTGATAGGCTCTGGCCGGGAAGTGATGTAATTCCTCCTCCGGCCCCAGGGGCGCTGCGCTGCAGGAGCCATGTGGGCTGCCGCCTGCCCTGGGCACGAGCCCTGTTGCCGCTGCTCCCCTGGCCCTGGGGCTCCCGATGCTGCCTGGTGGGTCCCCGGCTGCTCTGCTGGGCCTGGGTTGCATCCTGCTGCTCTCCCTGTGAGTACCCGCCACCCTGCCCGCAGCCAGCCCCTGCCTCCAGCCACCCCCGCACCCCCTGCCTGCAGCCAGCCCCTGCTGCACCCCCTGCCTGCAGCCAGCCCCTGCCGCACCCCCTGCCCTGCCCGCAGCCAGCCCCTGTCTCCAGCCACCCCCGCACCCCTGCCTATATAAGAAAAAGACCCCAAAATCGGGACTGTCCCTATAAAATTGGGGCATCTGGTCACCCTAGCACACCCCCAGGGAGTGGTGGGGACCCACACATGTGAAACGGAGCTCATTTCTAGTTCAGGCCCATCTTTTTAAAAAAGAACTTTAGGCAGGGTTAACATACATCCGTATTTTCCCGGACAGGTCAGGCTTTTTGGTTCTTAAATCGCCATCTGGGAGGCGATTTAAATTCCTCCCGGGAAAATACGGACATATGGTAACCCTGTTGGTACAAAAAATACATACTGGGGCACATCCCTTAAATCAGAACTTTTTATAGGGAACCGGTTGTTAAGATTTTGGCAGCTCATCACTACTTGTAACTCTCTACATAAAACTTGTTTTTAGGAAAGAACAACTGGCTTGTCTTGG